ACGCTTACCAGACCGTCTATAAACATTTCTGGTTGGGGACTTGGTTGATTCTGGCTGTGATCGTCGTCCTGACTGCGACATTAAAGAATTCCTGAAGAGATGGGGCGCTCTATAAATTCCTCCTGATCAGCCAGATCAACCGGGTGTAAGGCTCGTTTCCGTACGAGGGTAGATAAGAGTGGATTGGCTGGCTTGCTCGGCTCCGACTTGGGCACAGGGGTGGACCGAAATACACACGAAGACACTGCCTGCTCAATGATGCTGTTCGGTATGTTGGATTGAGGGGAGGGTAGGTTCTAATTGGTGCTCAATTGAATACACAACCATACCCACTTATCATATATCTGCAACATGGTCTTTTTGTACTCTTGATTAGTTGGTGGACAGACTGCTAACACCTCACAGACAGATTAGAGTAGGACTGTTGTATGCTACCATAGCCAGTTCTTTCTAATGCTGCTGTAAGTGAACCAATCAGAGTACATCTAGACTATGTTGACAATTTGTTGTGAATGTTGTAGACATGCCACTTGATCGGTAGAATAGGGGACTTGCCGGACACAACTATTTTTAGAAAATTAGGTGCTGGTCAGACACATGACTAGCTCAGCAGCATCCTCTGCGGCTTTGTCTGGGACCAATGGGACTCAGTTGGGAATGCCAACAAGTTTCACGGGCACTTCCAGTTCAATGGGTTCTCGACAGTCTACTAGTCAAATGGCGGGCTCGCAACTCAGCCCGTTGACCCCACGCGATAGGGAGCTCAGGGAGATCCAACAGGTCGAGAGGCTCCGCCAGAAGTTAGAGGAGGACCTGAAGAAGGCAACCAATAGAGAAAGAGAGATGAAAAATAGAGCAGCCAGGCTTGATACTTTAGAGGCTGACAAAGCTGAGCTAGAGGGCTTGGATGAGTCAGCATTGTCTGACCAGATGAAAACACTGAAGAAAAATATGTTGTCGTTGCATGCACACGTGGACAGCAGATTAGACTTCATGCAGAGCACTCTTGACCAGATCCTGGATGTTTTGACAAGGCCAGGATTCAGGACACCAGCACAATCGCCGTTGCCGTTATCGGCGATGTCAGGCCCCTTTCTAGTTCAAGCTGGCACATAGCTTAGTGGCACGTCTGCAGCAGCCGCACAGACTGTTGCATCTTCTTCTTCGGGTCCAGCAGTGGTTGCTTCACCACAACAACAATCTGTTCCTCAACAGGGACAGCCGCAAGGTCAATGGTTTCCTAAGACCCCAATGAAACCGCCTCTTGCCTTCTCAGGCGAGAAAAAGGACGAAGAACTCAACACTTGGTTGAGAACAGTCCCGGTTTGGGTGAAGGCAAAGAGGA